CACCCCCCCCCCATCACACAGGCTCTGAAGAGACCCATGAAAAAAGGACGAGAAAAGGGGGGAAAAAGCCCCTCCCACAAACGCACCACAGTCACCATTAACGTCATATTTATTGTTATTTAGCTGCTCAGGAAAACATATACAAGTATATACAATATGCATGAATACAGAAGACTGCACTTTACATATTTTTTTTAAAAAAGAAAGAAAAAAATAACACTCAATTTCATGAGCTATTGTCACAGTCTTCCAACCAAGCATTTCAGAAATGAATTTCTTTTAAGAGTCAAAAAAGATTACAGGATTGCCTAACACACAGCAGAGTTAAGTTTTCTTATTTTACATGTGCAATAAACATTTTCGTTTTCTTTCCCGAAGAGTTTGCTACGCGGGACCAGACTGCCAGTGTTCGGAGTCTCGTGTGCTGGGTGTGTTTTTCCTTCGCTTCTCTTCTTGCCATGAAAACCAAATTTCACTAAAGAACATCCTTTTGCTTAAGGCTATTTTTAAAGCTGTTCCGTTCCGTGCTGGGGTCATGGGAGCGAGAGAGCTGAGCGCTTCGGAGGCTTCCGAGGCTGCCGGGGCCGCGAGCCGATGGCAACGTGGGGAGAGTCGGAGACAGAGGTGACAACGCTGCTCCCTGGCCTTAAGCAATGAAGGAGAGAATTCCTGTCCCAAAACTATACCGATGGCACGCTCAAACGGCTGCACAGGGCGGAGGCGGGGGTGTGGGGATCGGCCCAGAGTGTGGTCCGATGCGCAAGCCGCCCATGAACGCAGGTGCATCCACTCACACCTTCCCGTGGATAAACGCGTGCCACCTGCTTCTGTTGGCCCTCGACAGCCAGGGGCCATCCTAGGTCAAGACTGCCCAGACCGGACCCAGGGCCGGGAGGGCCACGGAAGGAAGAGGAGGAGAAGGGAGGGGAAAGAGCGAGGTTTTTCTGGAAGCTTCTCTCCCCCGTGCTGAAAAGTTCTTTGAAATCAACAATGTGGGTGTTGTATGGTGAGCCCAAAGCCTTCAGGGCACTTGCTTTAAAAAAAAAAGAAGGAAAAAAAAGCCCGAATCTGCAAACTCTGGGGGCTGGGCAGGGGAGGAGGTGCGCGCAAAAGGGGGCGTTTGGGAAGACACGCCTGTCAACAAAAACTGAAATAAAACAGAAGTCACCAATTTGGGTGGAGTGACATCGGTGGCTTCTCCTCTGACCCACCCAGGAATCTCTGTACCCCTCACCCTTTTTGCATGGCATCAGTGGCACCCAGAGGTGCCCGTCCCTGCCCACCGTGGGCCTCGGTGACCCCACCAGTCTCGGCTGGAAGGAGAGGGTAGTCCCTCGTGAGTCATGTGGGTCATGGCTCTCGTTCTGCAACAGGGTGAGACTCAAGCAGAGGGGACAGGGGAGATTCCCGGTTCACAAATGAAAGGCTCAGGCGTCAGAGTCACCCACTACACTCTCCTTCTCCCTCCTCAGTCTCTTGGGAGCCCACAGACCCCTACAAGGAGGCGCCCCAGGTCAGGAGAAGAGGGACTCTGCAGGCCAAGCCAAGGTGCCCCCTCCCTCCCAGGGGCGGCCTGGGGCCTGAACCAGAGAGGTGGGGAGGGACACCCAGCACCCCCTCTCCGCTGGGATGCCTGGCCAGAAGCGGCTTTGAGCAAGGACAGGCACCAGGAACTGGGATTCACCCTCCTCCCACCCGGGCGCCCAAGGCACAGCCGGCCTGCCCGGTGCCGGGGCAGGAGCCCGGACAGCACCATCCCCTGCGCAGGCCACAGGGCACAGACCCAGCACAGGGGACACCGGCTCCTTCCCACGGAGCAGGCCAGTCATGGCTGCTGCTGCCACGCAGAGGGCGGCTTCCAGCAGGAGCAGATGGGCGGGTGCCTCTGGGCATGGACATCTCGACCACTATCTCCTTAGGGGACAGGCGAGACAAAGTCCCGGGTGGCACGCCTAAGGAGGGCATTCACCGTCTGGCTCCTGCCTGACCGATGACAGTTGGGTGCCAGGACGTAACACTGCGATGACAATTTGACTTCCACCGGGCGGTATTCCAGAACTACTATCTCCAGAATTTCCATTTTAATAAGCAGTGAACAAAGCAAAAAGGGGGAGAAAAAAGGGGGGAGAGAGAAGAGGAGAAAGAATAAAAAAGGAGAGCAACAATGCCTTATTATGAAACAACAATACTCAGACATACAGCAGCATAAGGAGGAAGCGAGAGAGAGGTTGTCTAAAAACGTATGCCCAGAAGACAGACCAAACCATCTAGCAAGAAAACGCGTAAGCAGAGGTCTGCTAACTGCAGGAGGGTTAACACTGGTAACATACTGTGGCAGACAAGTTTCTTTAAAAAAAAAAAAAAAAAACAACTTTTGAGGTTCCCCCCTTTAAATTAACCCTTTCCGGTCCATATGCCACTAAGCAGGTACCAACCTAAAAAAAAAAAAATCACCCACTCGGCAATAGTGGCCCTTTCCAATGAACAGGGGGGTGGGTGATCGGGCTGGGGAGGGGGAGACGTAGGGGGTAGGGAGGGCCTGGTGGGGAGGAGGCGCTGCTTGTCACTCAAGTTAGGGCGGCCACGAAGGTCCCAAATCTGTTGGAGATGTCGGAGTGCAGGGACCGCCAGGTGGGCACGGAGGTGCGGGCCTTGGCGTCGCCCACGTCGTCCGTGCAGTGGACAGACAGGCACTGCAAGTGGCTGCCAGCCTGCGGTGCCGAGTTCTTGCTTGTGGGGAGGTCGTGGGCTGCGGAGAGAGAAGGACGAGAGGACGTTAGTGGCACGCTCAGCTCCAAGGGATGCCCTGACGGGGGACAAAGTGGCCCAGGCACGGCAGAGGCACTGTCCACACCCTCTTCTCATGGCTGGGGGTGGTCTGAGGGGATCTAGAGACGGCTGACTCAGCCAAAGGAAGACACCCTTTTGGGACTCAGTTTCCCCCTTCAGAAGATAGGTGAGTGAGGCAGGATAAACTCGGGGTTTGCCCATCTCTGAGGAACTAGTTCCCCCAAAATTAACTGGATGTGAGGTACCTTGGGATGGCTTCCTGGAGGAGGGGTACCTAAACTGGGCATCCAGGGATGTGTAGGAGTTCACCAGATTCAATGAAAAGGTGGAAGGCAAGAGTGTCCAAGTCCAGAACGCAACCCAATTTTGGGTTATCCTCTGGACAGACATTTGCTGCAGGTCCACCTACCGTGTGCTTGGGAACTCCCTTAAACAGCGCCAGGCCTCATACCAACCCCAGGAGGTAGGCATGGTCATCACCTCTACTTTATGTAGCTAAGCACGCTGAGACCCAGGGAGGGAAAACGGCCTGCCTAGGGTCACGCAGGAGAAAGTGGGAGTCACACGGCACCCTCCCCAGGGGAGCAGACAGGAGGGGAAGGTGCCTGTGGGTGCCCAGCTCAGCACGGCTGGGTTTCGGCAGGGGCTGAGACCCACGGCCCCCAGCACCAGCTGAGTATCTCAGGCCAGTCCCCTCCCAGAAGGCCCTGCCCCTGCTTGGGTGCAGGGACTGAGCCTCCAGGAAAGGGCTCTGGGAGTAGGCATGGCGGGGACTGCTGAGGGACACCCCGCCGACACGCGCCATTCCCTCCTGCCGTCTGCGCTGAGCCTGCTGGTACCCTATCTTCCAGATGAGGCGTCCGAGCCCCAGAGAGGCACAGGCACCTCCCAGAGCCACACAGCTCCAACCCGAGGGCCGAGAGGCTCAAGTCCCCCCAGGGACCCGAGTCGAGTCCCCGTCTCTGAAAAGGGGAGTATCCGCCAGCCCCACAGACCTCCTCACCAGGGTCAGTCAAGCAGGCTGCTCATGCGCGCAAGGGGTTTGTGCAAACTGTAAAGTGCCGTCTTCATAGGGACAGAGGGCGAAGGGCCGGCACAGAAGACACTGAGAGCCTGCAGGCCCTGACCCAATCCTCCGCCAAGCCCCATCCCTAGGTGCCGTGTGAAGAGTCTGGGAACAGGGTTGGGGTCTATTCCTCCCCTAAGGCCCGAGTGAAAACCCCAATTCGCCTCTCACTCAGTCACGCAGCCCCAAAACACCACAGAGCATAGGGAGGCCTGTGGTGGCACCCTGGAGGAGTCTGGCCACCACTGACACCTTCGCATAAACTAGGCCAGACGAGCGCAAGACCCTGGAGTTCTAGGAGCGAAGCAGTCATCGGAGGACGGATTTTCTGCTGCCAAGCCACCACTGCTCGGTTCTGAGACCCACTCTGGGCGACGAATGTCGTCATCATTCCCCTCTCCTCGAGTCTGACTCTCAGAGAGGACAGGTGATCTGCCCAAGTTCCACGGCCAGGAAGGGGCGAGAAGCTGGGTTTGAATGTGGGCTGAGGCTGAGTTTCTGCCTCCGTAGAAGCGAGGCTCAGCTCCGGCCGAGGGAGCACACCCAGATACCGAACTCCACGACCGACTGTCCCGCCCTGAACACCCTGCAAGCAGGGCAGGGCCCTGTGCCAGGCGGGAGCCACCCGCCTGCCCTGCCCTCGGGGTTGAGCGGGACACCTCCCCAAGGAGCTGAGCCACGGCCTGCAGAGAATGATCCTCCCGGGGGACGGGCCCAGGCAGCCGAGGACAGGCCGTGACTCACCAGGCTTGGGGCCCCCGCCCTGGAGCCCCAAGCTTTGGGACCTGCGTGCCGGGAGGAAGTGGGGCTCTTCCTCCCATTCATCCCACCCACGGGCCTTTCTCACGGACCTACTATGTGCTGGGCGCTGTCCTCATCCTCCTCCCAGCGTCCGCAGTGAGGCCGGAAGCAGGGCCTCTCTGTGATCGAAGCAGGGTCCCTTGGCACCTCAGCCCCACCGCTGTGCGGCCAGGGCTCTACCACTTTCTCTCTGAACCTCAGGTTCCTCACTAATACAACGGGATGATGTCATTCCCCATGGGGACAAGTGGAGACGCTTTGACCCCCTCGGAGCAGCCTGGCACACAGGGAGAGCCCCCAGCAGGGATGCTGGGACTGTCACTGGCATCTGGGAGGGTCAGGAGGCGAGGGGTCCGTGCAGCCACCTGGAAGTCCCCAAAGCCCCCCTGCTTCCTGGGGACTGGCCAGGCGGGCAAGCTCCCACCTGTGAAATGGGACCCTTGGCCACAATTCACAGAAGCAGAAACTGAGGTTCCGAGCCCGGGGGTTCCAAGTGGGTTCAGAGTGGTGGAACCAGGTTGCTGTGCATGCCACAACCGGAGCAGGGTCCCCAGGAAGCGCGAGGCATCCACGCAGGGTCGGAACACACGGCGCAACCTCCTCCGCGTGCAACCTGCTCCCAGCAACCCCCGCTGCCCAATACCCCCCACCCAGAGGAGCTGTATTCCAAGTGCTGCGAGATCTGGATTGGGAGGCGAGGACGGAAGAGGGTCTACCAGAGACCAAGAAACATTCTGGAAGGGGGTTCTTACCCACCCTTATCCACATTATCCCAAGGAGCCGAAATGGCCATGCTTGTGCCCAATTTACAGACGAGAAGCCAAGACATGGAGCCCCTTGCCAAAGGAGAGAAAAGACCCGGGCCCGCACACCCGAGCCCAGCTCCCTCACTCTGTGGCTGCAGGCAAAGAAGAGGAAGGACGTCGGCGCTTCCTGGGCATCATGCTGGGAGCAGGCCAGGACCCACCTGGAGCTGAGACTGCCAGCTGACATTACAGACCGACCCACACGGCCAGATTCCCCGCAGACACGCTCGCAGGTCACAGACGTGACCTAAGTGTGGCTATAACGGGGTGTGCCAGGCACATGGCTGGACACAGCCCCATGTTATCTCAGTCCACCTGCCGCGGGCCCAGCCACGGTTGACCCTGCCCCCACTCCAGCAGGTGCACCCAGGGCTCAGAGACGGGGCGGGGCTTCCCGGCACCACAGAGCCTGGGACAAGTGTGAGAGCCAACCAGGTGGTCCCCATGGGACCATTTTTAAGAGAGAAGATTGCTCTTCAGTTCTTGACAACCCGAGCATGACCAAACTCATCCTCCCGCCGGATTCATTCCAGCCGGGGGGACCCAACACGCCCTCGGAAGGCGGCTCCCCCAGGCTGCCGAACCGCGGCCCGTAAATCAGCGCCATGGAAGCTGCCTCAAGTCAGGGCCTGCCCTAGCCCAGGAGAGGCCCTGGTCCCCACTCCCCAGGCGGTGGGCACACCCCCACACACCGGAACCCAGAGCTGAGCCCCTGAGGTTGGGGGAACCCCAAAGTGACTCATCACCCAGCGCCAGCCGACGCCACAGGCCCAGGGAGCGCAGCCCAGGATTCCACTCAGCTGCGCCGCACGGGACGGGGAGGCCTGGCCTGTTCGGCTCTGCATCCTGCACCTGGCAGGCGCTCGGCTGAGTGCCATGCATGGACTGTGAGGCACCCCTTCACCCCTGTTTGGCAGAAGGGAAGACTGAGGCCCCAAGCGGCAGGGAGCTGCCCAGGGGTCACCCGGGGCCAGGCCACCAGCTCTGGGACTGGCTCTCTGATGTTCAGCCCAGCATTCCCAGCTGGTCAGGCCAAGGTCGAATCTCGGGTTTCCCACACCCAGGTCGCTGGCTCCTGTCTGCAGAGCCTCAGTTTCCTCATCTGTCACTTGGCGAGGTGATTCCTGGTGGGCCCAGCTCAGAGCAGCTTCGAGGGGACCACACGAGAGAAAAGGCCAGCAAGCATGTGGGGGTCGGTCCCAGGGGCTGGGGCGTCATCAGCCCAAAGCACTCCTGCCTGGGAGGCTGAGGCAGGAAGATCCCTTGAGTCCAGGAGTTCAAGACCAGACTGGATGATACAGCGAGACCCTGTCTCTACGAAAAACGTAAAACTTAATCTTGTGTGGTGGCACAGGCCTGTAGTCCTAGCTACTGAGCAGACTGAGGTGAGAGGATCACTGGCACCCAGGAGGTCAAGGCTGCAGTGAGCTGGGATTGTGCCACGGCACTCCAGCCTGAGCAGCAGAGTGAGACTCTGCTTCTAGAAAACAGTAAGATAAAATAAAATAACTCTTATGACCCTGTGTGCCTCGCCTGACTCAGCCAGCACAGGGGCCTCTGGCTTGTGGGGACCATGACGGGTTGATGGGTGGGCCTGCCCGGCGTTGGAATGATGGTGGGACAGTTCTTAGGGACGTCTATGGGCAGAAGCAAACACACCCTCACTGACCCTCTGGTCTCCTCCTGGCACCCACCACCCCTCCCCGAGCACCCAGCACTGCGCCATCATTTCTGCTGCCAACGCCCCGCCCCACTGCGATCCCGCAGCCGATTCTGTCTTCGGGGCTTCCTGATCCACAATGGGCTGGCCAGTCTCGCTGTGGGAAGGGGGGCAACGACAGAAAGTGCCAAAAGCAGCGCATGCATGAGGAGCGACAGCCGAAGCTCCGTGCCCTTCACAGCAACCACGGAGGACAGCGGCCGCGGTCTGTGGAGCAGGGGGTTTCCGTGCGTGTCACCCAAGTCCGCAGAACCTCGGTTCCAGGACACGGCGGGGGATAGCAGGGTTGCCGCCACAGAGGTGCTAGGGGACTAAGGGAATGGACCATGTAGTGCCCACTGTGGGTGCTCCTGCCAGCACCCTCCACGTGCCCCACCTGTCCCCGATGCTGGCTGGCCTCAAGGTTGCCGTGGGACCCTTCTGGGAGGGAGAAGAGGGGCCTGTGTCTGCCGGGGCCATGCCATCTCGCTCCTGGAGATGCCCCACCCACAAACCACTGAGTTGTCCTTCTTTTCTTTAAAGTCAGCAGCACAGGCCTCATCACCCCCCGGTCTGCACCAAACGTT